GGGCGTCATGGGCTGGGTCGCCCCGCTGGGGGCCGGCAGGGCACACGTGGCAGGGGGAGGCCCGAGCACCGCCAGGCCGGCCGGCCCTGCCCCCAGCCAGCCCCCGCCTCACCTTAACGCGGTCCATGGCCTCCTGGGCCTGGGCCGCGCGCACGCTCGGGGGCGGGTTCCGCTCAGACAGCAGCTGCGTGGAGCCCAGGTACTGGGCCCCGAACAGGACCCCATCCAGGAGGTCCTCGTGGTCACAGGGGCCGGGCACTGCGGCGACAGGGGGGTGAACCTCGACTCAGGGCGGAGCGGGGCCTCTGCGAGGGGAGCGGGAGCCGGCACCGGGAGCTATGACTGAGCCCCGGGGGTTGCTCGGGAGGCGGCCGACAGATCCCGCCAGCCCTCTGCTCTGGCTCGCCAAGGACCCCTCCTGGGAGGGCGCCTGGACCTGAATGGGACCCCAAAGCAGAGACAGAGCTGACTACACCTCTCCTGCCTCAGATCACCCAGGCCTGGTGTTTTCTTTTTGTTAAAGAATGATTTTATTTCATTATATTCATTATTGTTATTACTATCTTTCAGTTTGACCAGAGAGAGACAGAGATGGCGAGAGAGAGAGGGAAAGTGAGGAGCAGGCCGCCAGGTCTGGGACTCGAACCTCAGCTGGCCATGTGAGTCCGGTGCCTTAACCTCTACGCCACCTGCCGGCCCCGGGGGTGTTTCCTGAGACCGGCAATGCCTGCAGGCACAGCCCAGGGTCTAGGAGCTCCATCCTACCCCATGGCTTCACACTCTGGGGCCACAAGCCCCGTCCTGTTCTAGAACCATCCGTGCGTGGTCGTCACAGGCCTACAGCCAGCTCTGTCCAGCCCTCGAGGACACTCGGGTAGCCCGGCCAGTGCTAGGAGCCCCCCGTGAGCCCACACACCAGCAGCTGTGAAGCCAGAACCAGCCCGCTCCGCAAGTCCCCCGCATCCCAGAGCTTCAGCAGACCTCATGTCCTGGTCCGTGAAGCCCCCCAGCCGGGGACAAGCCAGGCCTACTGCCATTCTAGACGTCTCTGTCAGCCCAAGGCCCGGCAGCTCCGTGTCCACCACAGGGACTGCCCCGTGCTTCCCCTCTGTCCAGACCCGGGGGGACGGCGCCGCCCTCAGTCCTAGGACTTCCGACGCGTCTCAAAGCACGCGACTGTCAGGGGCCCTGGGGACCAACGGCTCCAGAGCCAGACCTGCCCGACTCATGATGGCACGTGCTTCTAGCACCCCCCAGCGCCCCCTGCACCGGCGATGCTCAGCCCGCTCCGTGCTGCCTGCACACGGCTCCGCCCAGAGTCCCAGACAGCGGCCAGTCTCGTCTCCAGAACCCCCGAAGGCTGGCCCGGTCCAGCCAGGCGCCATCGACCTCAGCGTGCCGGACAGGGCACCTGCAAGCCGGACTTCTGGGGCTGTCGCCGCCGGGCTCGTGCAGCCACTGTGCCCTCAAGACGCACGGGTCTGGATGGAGCCGGCCGCGCAGGGTACGCGCTTGGTGGGGAGATTCAGCGGGAAAGAAAGTGAAGTCCGTGGCCCGGCTGTACACGTGCCGGGCTGATAAAACACCTCCGTTCATTCCACGTTTTCTTAGGCTCCTGCCATAGGCACGTACACTTGCCAGAGACAGAGAGGGGAACTGAGGTCACCGCGGGGGATGGCCGCACTGCAATCCCTTCTCCTCCATTCTCCGGGATCGTGGGCACACACATGCGCCCGGCATGATTTTGAAGCCACCAGGTCTGGGACTTGAACTGCAGTCAGTCACATTGGATGTAGCATTTTTTTTTTGGAGAGGTCTTTGCTATACGGCACACGCGCTCGCCAGAAAGACAGAGAGACAGAAAGCGAGAAATCACCCCCCGGGGGGATGGCCACGCTGCAATCCCTTCTCCTTCGTTCTCCTCTTGGGATCTTGAGTGTGTACGCACACGCGTCCGGCGCGAGTTTAAGCCACCGGGTCCGGGACTCGAACCACGGTTGACTACACGGAGTCCAGCAATGAAGTCATTATGCTGGTCCCGATGTAGTTACCTTAACCTCCATGCCACCTGCTGGCCCCGATTTCGGTTGTTTTAAATCCTTTTAATGTGGGTAACTAGAACTTTTTATTTAATTTGCCACAGTGCCTGAGCAGTCCCCAGAGAGAGGAAAGAGAGGGAAAGTGAGAATGCACCCCCGGGGGCGTGGTCACGCTGCGCTGCCTTCTCCTCCATCCTCCCTGGGGATTTCGGGCACGCACGCACCCAGCGTGATTTTCAAGCGGCCGGATCTGCACCTAGAACTGTGGTCCGCCGTGTGGGAGCCCAGGGCCTCAGCCACCTGCTGGTCCGCTGGGAAGTTTTTTAATCATATGTAGCAGTTCTATCAAGACCTTCCCGATTCCACCAGAATGGGACGGCTCCGTCCGTAGTTCTAGAACCCCTCGTGGGTCAGAACAGGAGAGAGGGCCTAGCCATCTCTCGGTTCCAGAGTTCTCCAGTCCGAGTAGAACGGACCGCTCTGCTTGCCAGTCCAGAGCACTCATCAGCCCAGACCCATCCGCCCTGGACCCACGGGCAGACCCAAGCTTGGGGGCTCCTTGGGGGAGTCACAGCTCCGCCCGATTCTAGAACTTTCTTAGAGCTACAGGTCCAAACCACCTCTCCTCCCAGCAGCCACTGGCTGGCTCTCTGACTGACAGCCTCCGATGGTCTGGGTGAAATTCTAGCGCATTCTGGAAGGCCAGAACTGCGCCCTATGCCGTCGGTCGGAGACCGGCGCCTTTTCTCATCAACACCCACACAGGAAACCCAGTTCGGTCCTCGTGGGCCCGAAGGCGTCTGCTTGGCCTGGTCAGGGCTGTCTTTAACCACGAAGCAGTTTCCAGGCGCTAAAACCTGAACTGCACGTCCTTGCCACCTGTTAGGAGCTACCCGTCTCCCTGGGATTCTTTCTAACATTTACCAAGCGCGCACGGGCTGGCCACGGGCTGGCGAGTGCGGTTTCAGTCCTAGGCCCAGTGGCTCGAATCCATGCGTGCCCCGAATCCCAAAAGGAAGGAGACGGAGGAGGGACCGGGGCGACCAAGCCCCACGGCAGCTGCTTCCTCACTTTCTGCCGGCCTCTCTGGTGAGCACCCCCTGGCAAACTGAAACAAAAGCCAGACCAGCCCCATGGCCTAGTGCTTAAAGGAGCCAGAGCCCACATGGCTGACCACGTGCTTCGAATCCCCTGGCCCTCTGGCTTCAAAACCACACCAGGTGGGCGTGCGTGCATGCCCAAAATCAGGACAGAGACACGGAGGGACTGGGCGTGACCACGCCCCATGGGTGCTTTCTCTCCCCCTCTCCCTGCCTATCTCTGTGTCTCTCTGGCGAGGGCACGCGCCTTCTAGCAAGTAAAACCAACGCGAAAGCCTTTCTTAGCTCTGGAGACCTGCGAGGCCAGGCGGGTGGGATCCGGCCCACAGCGGGGTACAGGCCAGCCTCACTCGAGAGCCCAGTGCTCCAGACCGTCCGGATAGCCCTGCCTCCTGCCCGTTCTAGAACATTCCGCAGACTGTTGCTGCTTTCTCCGGCCACGTGGACTGCGCTCAGGAGCCTGTGGGGACTCGTACTGGCCAGGCTGCGCCAGATCTAGGGAGCCCGCTGCTGGGGCGGGGCGGGGCACTCACCCTCCTGGAGGGCAGGGTATGAAGCCAGGGTCTTGGGGCTCTGGAAGAAGACAGAGAGGGGCGGCCTGAGTGCCCCCGCAGGTCCCGGACACGGGCGGAGCCCCTGAGGG